AGCACGTGATTCAAGAACAGCAAAAATATTGTATTGATCCTAGGAATTTATTAGGTTTCTAATCAATACAGCATAGAAAATAGCTCGAGTATTGTTGTATTTATTGGATCCTGTATTTTGTATACGAAAACATACACACACTCTCACTCCTTATGTGAGTTCCTTTGTGCGGAGTTGAGGGATATTGTATTTGGTATTTATCTGCCTTTTCTACACCCTCACAGGCTCTTTTTCGATATTTGATCATACAATTGGGTCAAGAATGTCATGAAAAACCATACACACAAGTTTTATCACAGCTCCATTCGCAAGAGTGCACTGAGGAAATTTCATTAGAATCAGCCTGAAAATTTAATCTAATTTACTGTCCCGAAGGAGATAAACATTGTACAGTTTTCATGTGATGCTTTCGTGATGAAGCTAACAATCGCAAAGTGCAATAACCGTCAGTGGGAAAACTTCAGCATGTAGCTTTTCAGTTGCTGTGGTAATTTAGTGAAAAATTCAAATTCTAATGTTAAATTTTATCATCATGTCGGAATTTTATGCCTTATTTGCTTGTCTTTTCTTTACTCTTACGCTTGCGTTGAGCATGGAGAACTAAATCCATGACAATATGGTGTCAGAGCGACTAATGCAAGCTATAAGCTCATCAATTTTGCCACCACCATGTCCATTATGGCTTGAGATACAGTAAACAAAAATCCATTCTGACTGACATTGTTTGCATTATGTTGTTATTTATGTTGAACGTCACAAAGAGCGCTCATGGTAGAACATTTCCCATGGTGTCTGCATATATGAGGAGGAAGGAACTGACGACAGGACAAACTTCTCTGTAATTCACAGGGATGTGGCAGTTGTAGAAAATGTTGCAACATTTCATATGAGACATCTCAGGACTTTTAATCTCATCATATTTTGAGCAAATTAAACACCCTGTGCTTTCATACTGACAAGTTTAATTCTTTTAGAGATATGAAAAAAATACAGTGAGGCGCTATTCAGAATGTTTCATAAAATTCAATTTACTGATATTACAACTATCCTAAGTGTGAATTTTTTATCTTAAACGCAAAAATTGACCAGGAAAGTTTTATTGGGAACTTCTTAAATTACATATAAAGTTTCTATGTTACAGACTTGAACTGAGTCTCTCAAATAATGCGAAATTTGAATTGATGTTTTTTTTTCAAGAAAGAAAAGAATTTAATTTTATTTAGATTTGAAAGCACACTTTCATGTTACTTGAAAAATCCTTATATCTGCAGTACATCCCAACAAACAACCCTCAACTGACTCCATGTCAAAAGTTTCGTTTTGTCGCCGCGAATGGAGAAGAATGATATCCGAATGATGTGCAATACAACTCAGAACAATTTTGAAACTTTCGTGTCCCCTTCCAGAGAAGTAAATGACCCTCAACAGATAGATTCAAATGAAATTGCCAAAAGCCAGAGAAGTCAAGAAACAGAGATGGGAAATGTATGGAGCAGAAAAAGTGATAAAAGTACAATTTTCAGGCTCTCACCACCTTCCACTTCAACTCCTTAAAATGTTTCCGCTCTCTCACTTCTGCTCTTTGCCTTTATATTTTCGCATTTTCAATTCCGCCGAGACGAATTCGCATCAATCGGAGAAAACAGATTTAAACTTCAGTCGGCATAATGGTAAAGTTGAATACTCAAAGTATCGAGTATCTTGAATCAACAAGATAATCCTATTTTATTCTCTGGATTTTTTCTACTCTCTGTGTCCTTATAACGACAAATTCAATGGAGGAAAATCCATTTATTTACCAACGAAATCGAAAATGAAAAGTGACGAAGGCGGAATGTATTTCGCATTTGCACTTTTATCTGTAATGCTACACATCATGCAGGGTTTAAAGCTTTCAAGTAAAGATAGAATAATTACACACGTAATTCACTGAATTCGAAATAATTAAGTATTGTGCAAAGTTTAAAATATTCAATGGAGAATCATGCAAACTTTCGTAATAAAACTTTTTTCAAGTGAAATAAATTTCCTTTTAAAATATATAGCTTTTCTGGAAGGTATTCAAAATCGTTAATCATCTTTTACAGAACCATTAGAAAAGATAAGGAACTTTCTTTTAACTTTTAATTTAGAAGCTTTGCCAAAAAGTTAGGTAGATTAAGATATATAGCGATAGGAATTGCCCTTAAACATTTCTCAAGGTAAATATCTATTAATTACCATGTCAACGCCTTATCCATGAGATCATTCACGCAATTAACAGGTATGTATATATATATATATATATATATATATGTTCGTAACAGGGTAACACGAATATGCATTTACCTTGTCAATTGATATTAATTGCTGAAATTACAATGTATTAACTTTACATGCAGCCTTACTCATGTCACACTTGTAACACATGTACACACATCCATGTACGAACATAATGCAATTACACTATTCATCCACTGATTATTATTGAAAATTCACACTGAATCAATCTTTCATTCTCAATTATATATCCCAATCTATGTCATCAGTGCCATGTATTCTTAGTAATATTGATAAAATTTTATCCGAGCGAAGTTGAAAGTTGCACAATTTATAAAGTGAAATGCCAATCCTGATAAAACACGTTTGGCGTAATTGCAAGATAACTCTGTACATTGGCTTTCTTATTTAGAATTCCTCTCGAATTTCTACAGTGAAAAATAATTCACTCCTGTGAGTGTACATACAATATCCTCCAGGTGTGTATAAGGGCGAGAGAGAGAGAGAGACTGGCACCCAAGAGTCAAGGGAGTCAGTGATGAACTTGAGCATCATGCCTGACGATCAATTTTCCAGCAGCCTTGCATCGTGAAGTGAAAAATTATTTTTATCTCAACCAACCACCCAGAGCGATATTTGCTCAACGAAACCGAAAAGTCAAGAGAGAAACTTAATGCAATCAAAATTGAAGATGATATGGTAAATGCGGTGTTTCTCGTGCTTAACCGTACACCCCACGAGCCCCGTCACATTTGACATGTGGCCCATTTTGTCTCCCTGCGATATACAAACACAAAATTATTTCCTCCAGGCACAGAACATCTTATGCACGTACACAACACCTACTGTCGGAAGTCACATACACGGATGGCGAATTTACAGAAGCCAACCACCCAGGCCTCACTTCAGTCACACTCACTCAGCCACCCCGGCAATGGGGGCAGGAAGAGAGGATTCAGGACGAGGCAGGGACGAGCAAATATAAATTCACTGATTGGGTTATAAATATAATAGTCCTTAAGTTTACAGAGAGCATGATGGATGGACAAGTGAGGTGGGTCTGAAAGCACGTCTCTGGCACTGCAAAGCAATTCTGTATAGTTCCAATTGCTCCACTTTTGCAGGTCAATGCGCCGAGTGGATATAATGAAAGACTAAAGAATTTTTTAAATCGAAATTTACTGTGATTATTCAACTATTCTAATACACAAAAATAATAATGGTAGACATCAAGTGTCGTTAATCTGGGGAGAAAACTTTACATTTGCAATATGTTATCCCTTAACAACTTGAGTGGAACATTCAATAATCACTCAATTTTGATGCGATATGGTGTGCTAGAAATGTTTCCAGCAATTGGCCGTGTTGAACCGACGAAAAAACCCACTGAACTTGAAGACTCTGAACGAATGGTGAAAAGGACAATAAACACGAGCATGAAGTCTTCCGGTCTAATGTCTTCATCGTGTCGTGCTGCAGAGCCGACAAAAAAGGCTGTTGGGAAAGTGCTGGGCCTAAACTAGCGAGGGTCAGAATAAGTGAATAGAAAATAATTTGATTGGATCTTTTCACGTTCCTGCTATTTTCTTGTATCTGACGAAACAAGTTTCTGCCCTCTATAAGTTCTTCCACGACAACCCCTTTCTTTTTCCTCCCATTTCTGTCGTGTCTACCCTGAAAATCTGATTGTTGTCCAATTTATTTGTCATTTTGTCTTTCGTCTCGTATATAAGATGCTTAAATGGATTTATCCCTCTGCCCCCATATCATAATACAAAACGAGTGACTCTTTGAAGTTACAACGTAAATCAGAGTACGTGCCCCATGAATATTCCATATGGATACTTGAAGGGATGATAACGTGAAGTGGCCTTCCAACTGCTCTGTGGAATGTAATACTGGGGAGAACACAAAAATTTTCCCTATGTGAGCAATTTTTGCGCACGGGAATATCCTGATTCCCCCTAGAGCTCTTCTGCAAATTAAGACACCAAACTGTTTTATTTGGCAACATGGCCATGGCTTTTTTCTCCAACATGTAAACCTACGTATATGTTGACTAAATGGAATGTACACATTTTGTAAAGCATGAATGGGAATGAAATGGTTTTACACTCCAGTAAACTCATCCCCAATGACTGATACAATGGACATGACATGCACTAGTAAAATATACAATTTAATGCTCTAATTTGATTTATTCTAAATAAAATGAACATGGATAAATTTAATAGTATTTTTACCCTCTCTCAGAATTTGCAATTAAGTTGAAAATAATAATTGAATAAAAATATTTCATTGCTTTACAAAGCAATAAGAAGAAGCTTTTTCAATTCAATTCGACATTATAAGAAAGATATTGATTTTTGGGCTCACGAAATAAATTTTTTAAATAGTGAATTCCGCTATTTCTCCCCTGACATTGATGAACTGCACAAAACTCAGTTAATAAGGTTTTCTCACTCATACGCGGCACAAGAATAGGTGTAATCGTAAAGGAGAAAATTCCGCATGAAAAAAATGAAGAATTTTAATAAGATTCGCTCAGACGAGACATTCCCAAACAGAGCGGGAAAATTACGGAAAATTCCTTCCCTCCTCAGTTTTGCTATCTCTTCATTTTATGCTCCATGCTAAAGTTATTTGCTTCATAAATCCTACACCAAATACACTTGAAATTCAAGTGAATTAAAGGAGAAAAGGAAAAGGGGAAAATTTACTCGGAATATTGAAATACTCACATTTTCCTAAAATGCTTCGCCAGATGATAACGGGGAAAACCATAGAAAGCGCGTTTCTTGTGGAGTGAAGAAAATCTATGGAGAAAATGATGAAGCATGGTTATATAAAAGACGGCAAATTTACTGAATATTTTACTTTAAATCAGAAACTGTCCAACAAATTAATGAATTTCTTTTACATTTCCATATCAGATTGGCATTTGAAAACTCAATGCATGACTGTAAATATGAACGGTGAAAAACAGATATGATAACTTAGAATTTACTCATTGAAATCAAAAAGTCATTTTGTGTAATTCATTCAAGAATGCTCATTTCCCTTTTATTCGGAACTAAGAAGCTCATTTTTCACTTCGGTTGATGAACTCGTGAGGGAATTTCCACATTTCACTTCACATTTATACTTGTGCTATACAATTTCTATTCACTTTTCCTTATCGCGAGCAACATAAAATTTGCATTCAATTATATGAAAATATATATCTCGCTGTTTTGAATTTCACGCACATTAAGATGGAAAAGAAGACAGCACACTTTTGAGAGTGAGACAATTTTTACAAACAAATCGTCTTTGTATCTTTTTCTCCGTGACATGGAGTTTTCTATGCATTCTCGTTTGACAGAAATCTGAGTGACGGATTTTCTCCTTGCTCTTTTGCAAACAGAAAGGAATTCCATAGAAAAATTGTCACATGAAAATGTATGCTTTACATATGCTTCCATTGATAAAATTCAATTTTTGATGAAATTCAAATTTTCCCCTCTGACTTGCATTTCTTACTTTCCTTTTGTCACAACATGCAGAATCATACAATAAAATGCATTGTTATATTGGGTGAATGGCGTCATCCGAAAGGTTGCTCTATCAACATTTTGTAAATCTGATTTCCTCATCAACACCCTTTTCCAACGGGAACTCTTTTCGTGCAGAGAAAAATTAATTTCCTGTCCATCAGAATGCACAGCAATACATCCTTCATGCAAACACATTTTTCTGATCAATTTCCCGTCAATTTTTCACCATTAAAGTGCTTCCAAAAGGCAAGAGAGTGTTTCGCAGATATTTAAATGATTCTTTGAATTCTGTCCCAGGTTTTCATCCACTTTTCCGTGCGACTGCGCTCAATTCGGAAGAGAATTGTTGAATACCAATAAAATAACTCCTAACCACATGAACGAAAATGAAAACGAACCATTTCAATTGCTTTCAAATATCACTCTATATATGCCCTGAAAAAGAGGGAAATGAAATCATATATTCAAATTTCATTTCGTAGAAAGGGGGAGAGAATTGACAACCGCATATGTGGAATATTTTTAAATCATGTACAACACCATAAAATTCACAAGATACATCTAGAGAAAGCTCACTTGAAGCCCATTGAAATCAAACTTTACTTATTTCCTTCTAGCCCAAAGCAAAAGTTTTCGATAAACAATCACATCCCCAAAGAAGAGGCAACTTATTGAAATTTCATCAGGTGCTGTATTTTAATTATGAGATGCTCTTGGCCACAAACTGCAACTATCAGACTCACGATGTTCTCTCTTAGCGATGCCAAACTTCCCATGGCAAAGATAAACAGTTCCCCAAACACAGTCGAATGACAAAATATTTCCCAATTGATTTAAATTGAATTAATCGCTTTAATGAAGTTGAATGAGATAATTCCACTCTGTGAGTCGAGATTTCTGTACACACGCGGAGTAAAACAATGTAGATCAGTAGACTTTAACATTATTTTTTTCGGTGAGAATCTTTGCCTAACATTGATGATTGTAAGGATGTTCAGTCAGTGAGATTATTCACCTTCTCAAAGGACACTTTGCTTCCGAGAGGGAAACTAAACTATGAAAGATTTACAAAATCCCTCCCTTTGCGTAAGCCCACAATAATCCTCTAAGAAAATCTGCGTTTTTTTCTATCCCTATAACATTGAAAATATGAGGGAACGAGCACGAGGCAAAGACTGCTATAGAACAGTACAAGGTACTTTGAGAGATTACCGAAAATCGTGAAGAATCCGCTGTATTCGACTAATTCTCAAGGATCCCCACCCGAGGATTGTTGACAATTTTTGAAGCGCACTCCAAATAAATATTTATCTGAGAGGTCTGGATGAGGCGACAGAATCGATCGTCTGCACAAAAGGCAAAATCTCCATTTACCCATGTAGCACAATGTGCTAATACATTTATGTAACAGTCATTGAGCCTTTCACTTGTGTCGTTTGACTTGAATGCACGATGGCTGAGGGGAGATTTGTTCGATTTTCATGTAATGCTCGCACACTCTCAAAATACACTCCTTCTCTATGTGTGCCCCACAAAAAGCTCAAAAGTTACCTTCTTCCTCAAAGAGCGCACATTGCGAAAACCCTCGCGAAAATGGATAGAATGACATGCATTTTTGCTGTCCCTCCCACGCAAACCTCTCATATTTCATTCACTCTTTGCCAGACAACTCAGTGTATATTAACTTTCTTCAAATTCTCGATTGGATAGAGTAAAAAATGTTACTTATCTCATCGTAAAATCAACAAAAGAAACAGAATCGAAAAGGAAATTACATTCACAGATTAAGTCTACACATACAGCAATTCACATCAAAGAATTTTCAACAAAGTTATTCTTTTTGTCTTATCACACAGGCTCTTCATCAATAATTTATGAAAAAGCGAGTCTATCAATTCGACTTGGAAGTGCTTGAAATTGCTTATTGCTCTTTCTGGATAAGATCTATTGGGGCGGAAATATTTTCTCTACAACATGAAAAAGCAATTGTATCAATAACAAGAAAGTGACAAAAATGACCCAATTAAGTTTGCCAAAAAAAGAACATCTGTTTGATGAGAAAATTTTTCTCATTTAAATTTAGGATTCGCTCAGCGTCGAATTTAACGCAAATGTCAAGTTATCCAAGTAAAAAATCGTTTTAAATTCACAAAATATATTTTTGCTCATGTCATTTCAGTATGATGAAAGAAATCAGCAAATCTGCCAAGAGATTTCCTATGGGAATAAGATTTAAATTTATGCAGTTAGTAAAATTCATCTCCACGTTAAAATATTATATGCACGAAATCACGTAGTCATTCTGGCTAGTTAATAATTTTTCCCACTGATGAATTGCTTTGAAACACTTTTCACATAACGTTTATTCAATTATTATTATTCTACTAATTTTGAAGTCTTACATTCCTAAACAAGGTCTAGACTACATGAAAACGAAAATAAGGATTTCTAACTAGAATTTTCATCATCACGACTTTTGACTTAACTATTCTCTCTATACATATATGCGTAAAATAATTCTTCTTTTTGAGGATGAATATTTTAAAATTGTCCTTTGATGATGATGTGTTCAAGTCAAAGCCTTCAATTTTAATTACTGAAAGCATACTTGGGTTTTCATCCATTTGAAATGTAGTTTCCGCAGTTATTCTGAGAGCAGAACTGAATGTGTACGAAGTAGATGCATAAGTGTTGTCTAGATGATTCGTTTGGAGTTTCATGCCCAGCTCTTTGATCGACATTATATTGATTGGAAATGCAATTCACACAGAGAATAATGCAAATTCTACCTGCAGGTGACTTTATTGTATATTAAACATCATCAAGATAACTTCAAACTTAATTACAGGCTTCGTTTGTTGTGAAAGGGAACATTTTTCACAGTGTGGGAAAGAACGATTGTGATTTCTTCCATCCTCAAACAGACAATACCTCTGGGAAATTGAGATATGTCTAATACATATAGCGTTGTGTATTCAGCAAACCATTTAGAGAAAATGTGAAGCTGTTGGGCTATTATTTCCCCCACATTTTTTTACACTCACAGCAAAGAAGAAATAATTCTGTAAATGGAATTTAAGAAATTGTAATTATTGTTTGAGAACGTGACTCGGTTTGCTAAACAACCCCCCGATTCAAGTCACTTACCGGGGTGGTTCAAGAGGGCAAAAAAGTCGAGATAAAAGTTGTACCATATGTAGGTTAAGTTGTTACTTTTGCAGCATTTGTACGGGCTTTGGGGACTTTGTGTGGCAAACTGGAATGTGTCCTCAAAAAGGGTAGGAAATGTTGCAATCAAGATATAGAGTGGCAATTGAAATAATTTCAACAATAGGCTCAGTCTCTTATTTGCTACATGATTTGCGGTTAGGATATTCTAGGATGACGGAAGTGAGTGAAATACCTCATTTGCAGATTATCGCAAGAAAGGCCCTAAAAGTCGGCCTGGTATACACGCAATTCGGGTGAGACTTGGCGAGGCGTAAATGGAATCACAATCCGCATTTAATTGCTGGTAAATAACATCGAAGTATATATTTATGCTAATAAGATATAACTCATGAAGTCACACATATCATGCAGAATATTCTGCCAAAACCGCTCCTCACATTTCATACACCACCAAAAAGGATTATTACTGAGGATTTGGTGCGGGGTGAGCAAATTCGCGGCTTTGACTCTATAAAAATATTTACACAAACTTATGGTGAATGCTTAATAAGACACAATTAAATTTGAAACGTTTCCCAAATGCGTAAGTTATCCTCAGGGTGTGTATGTGATGTTTTAGAAACAATCACAGAATAAATCACAGTGGATATATTTTGGGAAATTGGCATTATTGAACGTGTCTAAAGGAAAGCAGTCAAAGGATTTCTTTGGTGAATGCGTTAACGAATTAATCTTCTTTCATGTACCTTAGAAAGAAGTAATTGAGTAAATTATAGGCGAAGTCAACTGGGTTTTCACGTTGCTTCTCATTACCTATATATATACTGAACGAAATTATAGAGTAATCAATATCCTTTTAGATGCTGCAAAATGTCTGAATAAGGCGAATAATGTATACGCTATAAATTACTCTAGACATTAAAGGTACACAAGAGTGAAACAAGAAAATTCGCCTTTGTGATAAAAACAATTTGGAACGCAATCGCTCAATAAAATGCATGTGACAAAATGTTTCAATGTTGCAGACTGTCTCAATGGACTTTGATTGGCGATTCACCTGTGCCATTTCACATATTTATCATACTGATTTTCTCTATCGGTTTGTGAAC